ATGACATGAGACAAACTATATGTGAACTGCTGTATGAAAAGTGAATTTACTCTGTAAATCTTCACCCAAATCCTAATAAAAAAAAAAAAAAAAGCAATTGGTCCAGCCTTTTGCTAATTCAGTGAGCAACCTTATCAAATATGGTGCTCCTAGTAAGGCTTTGGTTGCAGAATCCATTTGTTTAATTTTGTTTTTATCAAAAGTTGGAGACTATGAACCCATGAAAATAACTATGGTACAAGATAAAGTAAGAATTCATTACAAAATAAACTCTGACAACTCCATAAGACAGAATAGAACTGTCCCATAGGGTTTCCAAGGGTGTAATCTTTATGAAAGTGGACTGACACATCTTTCTTCCACAGAGCAGGTGGTAAATTTGAGCTGTTGACCTTTTAGTCAGTAATTTAGTATTTAAGAATTCATTACAGGGCCTGAATTCTAGGGGATTAGAGATAAACTTTAAAATGTTTCATTTTATACACAGAAGCTGAGTTTATTACATTGTTATGAGCTGCAGAAAATTTATGAAGAAAAAGAAAGGATTTCCTTAGATATCTGGAAAATAATAATAAAAAAAAAAAAAAATTCCAAACACAACCAAAATAAAATAGATGTCTGAATTTGTGCAGTCCTAATTTATTTATTCTTGAAGTTAGCATTCCTCTTTCATGAAAACAACGTACTCTGAAAATTCTAGAAATTCTAGCTTTCATGAAATTCTAGCTTTCATGAAATTCTAGCTTTCATTCCACTTTCATGAAAACAACATACTCTGAAAATTCTAGAAATTCCAGCTCTATCTACTCATTTAGTCTGAAAGTTCTATAAGCTATGTCATCTCGGAAGCCTGTTGTACCCAAGAGTCAATTTTTTTGAAGTGTCATTGATTTTAATGACCCAGTACAGTCCTTTTCCTAGACTGTTGTTTAATAAAGATATCAACTGTGGCCTTTTATCTAAAGCAGAGTCTAACATAGTTTATAAAGAGCCTTCAAGCAAGCATCAGAGTAAAATAAAACTATGATCTTTCTCCCACAGAGTAGCTGGAGTGTTCAAACCAATGTCCCTTTGTTTAACAGCCAAATGCCTTAACAACTGCACCACCAGAGGTCCTTATCTTATCAACATATCTGTAACAAAATAATGTAACAAACTCCAACTAAACCAAACTTACTGCCATCGAGTGGGATCAAACTCATAGGGACCCTTCCATGGGTTTCTGAGACTAGAGGGCAGTGAGGTGTTTTCTTTTTTTTTTTAATCACTATGGAAGTACATTGCCCAATTGTCCTTCTAAGGAGTGGCTGGTGGATTTGAACCACCAGACTTCTGGTTAGCAGTCAAATGCCTTAGGAACTATGCCACCAGAGCTCCAAATAATGCAATAGACAAGGAAATTTTTTTTTTTCTGTTCCATGCAAAATGAAGGTGATAAAGCCATTCCAGAAATAATTTTTAGATAATATATTTATAAAGATAATGATTTGACCTATTTTGTTTTTTTAAATCAGTGAATGTTAGATTTGGCTTATAAAATTGGATGAACAGAGTTTTCTATAGAGGAAAAAAACTGTATAAAAGACATTATCAAACCTAAGATATAAGTGTTTTTTTTTGTTTTGTTTTGTTTTTTTAAAATGCTAAGAATATATGTAGTATAAGATTCAGTAAGTCTTGAGTAT